CTTCTTCGGATGCATATGCATCCGAAGAAGCGGGCTGTAGTCCACGAAAGCTTATGCTCTAATAAATTTGTTAATTCCTTTTGTGGCTTCTGAGCAAGGGGGCGACGTTGCCTTCTCAAAAGCCATCCGTGGCAGCAATGCCTGCAACCATGCCACAGGACTGTAGTGTGTGTTGCTTAAGACACATGTGGAGGAACGCCCACACAATAGTCAAAGAGAACTATGAATTTGGGGACAGGGAAGAGAATTGCTGCATTTACCAAGAGACCCGCAGAGCCTTTCATAAGGAATCCTGGACAGCCATGATCTAACTTCAACTAGCAATGGGTGAACCAGCACAGAATTAAATAAACATTTCTCCATCTACCCACATGACCTTCATTTGAAATTGACCAATTTATTTTTTCCACATAAAAATCCAGTTCCCAATTTATTTTGCATGGTAGCTGGAACAGTGAAACCCTGAACTGTCACAAGAAAGCCTCTTTGGAGATCCAAGGGGTTTGGATAATCATCCAGCCTCTGGGATGCCTATACTGACTGAACTCCTGGACACTTAGTGGTGCACCCATCAGTAGTTTATCTGAGCAAAGTGGAGTGGGACAGAGGAACAAACAAGCTTGGAAGCCAGAAACTCAGATTTCTAAATCTGGCAATGACACTGTCTTGCTGTGTTACGGGACCATCCAGGCACCTCCCCCACCCCCTACAAAGGAGATCAGGGATTGTTCTAGGCACTGTGCAAAGAGAATAAGATGCAGTCCCACAATCTAAACAGACAAGAGACACAAAATTTAGGAAAAAGGAAGCCTCTTCATCCCTATTTTACAGATAGGAAATGGGCACAAGGAGATCAAGTGACATAACACACACATGGCAGGGTTGGGGCCTGAACCCAGATCTCCATCCCAGTCCAGTGCCTTAATCACAAGCCACCCCTCTTTGCTGCCCTCAGACTTCTGCAAATATTAGCCTGAGAGTAGCAAGCAGGCATGTCACTTTATGCATACAGATAACAGGTGAGTGACAATTACTTAAACTCAGTTGTGTATCTATCAGTAGCTTAAAAATAATGCAACAGCTCACAAATCCCAGTTCCCTCTTCAGCCTAATACCATCTTCTCTGCTTGTGTTTAAATAGAAGAGTCAGGATTACTTCACCTCTCCATCTTTTAAATATCTGGCAGACTGAACTGTATTCAACAGAACACCCTGTGGACTCCAACTGAATTTGTATCGCAGAGGATTAGCAGAATATTCAGGAGCTGGCAAGCCACCGCAGAAGGAAGTGTACGATATGACCTGCAAATATAAAAATAAATCCACAAGTTGCATATGATCTGTGACGTTGTGCAGTCTATATGGTTTTATAAAGATTTGATAAAAAGTGAATATAATGCAACTGGGATATGCTTCATGCAAAAGGTCTCTTGTAAGATATCATTACAAAATTTATAATCTACTGAGTGTGATCATCCTATTTGTAGAAATGTACCACTCTTGTATCTAAAACTAGAAATATAAAATATAACTCTGAGGGCCTATTGTAATTATGTAAAGTGTGGGCCATTAATGATTGTTTGGAATCTTGATGACTCCCATTAACAAGGACCGTTGTCTGCAAATGGCTGTGTTTACCTGTTAGTCTTCCTGTATGTGTGTGTGCTGGCAAGAGGGCAATGAAGTCTTGCAGTGACATGTGATCATGTCACCTGAACTGGAATCCATCTTTAACCTGGTGCTTTTTCAGTGAGGGGGGGTGGAAACTCAGAGGGACAAAGGGTTCCCGCCTTATGCAAAAGATATATAAAGGGTGGAAGAAAATGAAGGGGGAGAGGAGCCATCATGAAGAATCCCCTAGCTATCACCTAAGCTGGAACAAGAGCTGTACCAGGGGAAAGAATTGTGCCCAGGCCTGGAAGGTGTCCAGTCTGAGAAAAAACTTATTGAAGCATCTCTGAGGGTGAGATTATCTGTATTCAGTTTGATCAGGCATAGATTTGCACATTTTATTTTATTTTGCTTGGTGACTTACTTTGTTCTGTCTGTTACTGCTTGGAACCACTTAAATCCTATTTTCTGTATGTAATAAAATCACTTATTTAGTAATTTACTCAGAATATGTATTAATACCTGGGGGAGCAAACAACTGTGCATATCTCTATCAGTGTTATAGAGGGCGAACAATTTATGAGTTTGTCCTGCATAAGCTTTATGCAGGGTAAAATGGGTTTATCTGGGTTTAGACCCCATTGGGAGTTGGGCATCTGAGTGCTAGAGACAAGCACACTTCTGTGAGCTGTTTTCAGGTAAACTTGCAGCTTTGGGGCAAGTGATTCAGACCCTGGGTCTGTGTTGGAGCAGATGGGAGTGTCTGGCTCAGCAAGACAGGGTGCTGGAGTCCTGAGCTGGCAGGGAAAACAGAAGCAGGGGTAGTCTTGGCACATCAGATGGCAGGTTCCAAGGGGGTTTCTGTGATCCAACCCGTCACATGATCAGAAAAAGATAAACCGCATCATCCAGCTAGCAACAGGAAAGCACCACCACTGATTTCCCTGCAATATTCAGTTACTGTGTTTAGTAAATCATTCCCTGGAAGGCCTGAATTAGGCAAAGAACAGAAAGTATTTTATGCCAACAGTGCCAAAAATATTTATGATTTTCACATACAACAGGCCACAGAGTGAGTTTGTTCATGGGACTTTCATCTCTGAGGGTATTGGGGCAGAACCACAGCTGGTGTAAACAGTCATCGCTCCATTGACTCCAACTGCTTGAATTGTCAATTTACACCACCTGAGGATCTGCCCCTCTCAGCGCCCATCTAGAAGAGATCACAGATGAACAATACATAATGGGGCTAATTCATTCCAGTGAAGCACCACTCACATCAATGGAACAGTAGCATCCAACAGTTATTTAGCAGAACTCATGACAATTTCTTGGCTTAGCAATAGAAATTGTACTGAGACCACCGCCTGGGACAGCCTGGTGGTAAATCTGAGCCAACAAGCCAAAAACTAATTGGGCCTGGTGACTAGCCACCGTTCACTACCTTCCCCTTCTGTGGAAAACTTGAGGCAGATTAGCAGGGCTGAGAGAGAGAGACCACTGGGACTGCCTTTGTTTACGGAGGTATCTATGTGCTGGTAGAGGAATTTAGTTGACAACGCTGTCAATCTTGCGCATTTCACAAGCATTGCAGATAAGAAAATATTAGGCCAGATCCATTGCAGCCAATGGAGTTTAGCCAATGTACTCTCATGTCATCTGGGCAGGTGGCTCAAAGGTGATGATCCACACTAAGTCTGACAGCCAAGTAAGAACCCCCATTCTGATCTTTCACCCTGGGCAGAATGCTGGGACAATGGAGAGACAGCATGTTCAGCCTGAGGAGAGACAACATCTTGCTTCATTCAGCAGGGACTTCTCTGGCCCACAGGGACTGGCATTGGCAGGCTGCCCAGGAAGAGCTGACTCAGTCCTCCTGAGTCACCAAATAGAAACTACAAGCAAGAGGCTTTGTAGGCTTTAACGTGAGCCAAAAGGAAAGGGATTCATTGACGTGCATATGGACCCAGTAGCTAGATATGGGGAATTATGAAATTCACAGCTGTTCGGGGGGGGGAGGGGGGGAGAGAAGGTTGATTTTTAAAATAGAAAAACAATATTCACTATTAACCTTAATGTCCGCTGTTCTCTAGGAAACACTTCCTCCAAAAACAAGTGGCCCATATGCTTCCATCTGAGCCTGCAGCAGACAAGTGGTGAAGTCCTTTCCAGAATAAAAGCTGTACCACCTTAAGAGCTTATGATAAATGGCACAATATTAAATGCTATTTGTCTGAGGCAATGTAATTAAGCCAATTAGTCTGATTCATTCATTTTAAAATGTAAGTTGTTCACTGGCATTATATCTTCTAGTTTAAAGCACAGCTTCAAAGCTATTCTAATCTAGTGATGTAACTCAGTTTAACCCTTTGTGCAGACACATCACAAGGGGAGTGCCAATGCACTTTGTACTGGCATTTAGCATCATCACACAATCCAAGCTCTGGGCACCATTGATTGAAGGCCTCTAGAGAGTGAGTTACCAAACAGTAGCAAAGACAAGTTCTTGCTGAAGGAATAACAGTTGTGTTAATATAGCTTCGGCAAAACTATGCATGTGGAACTCATGCTCCACCTTACCGTAGCGCCTACATCTTTTGCCTTCTCAATACACTCCATCGCCAACATATGATCGAGGCCAGGATCCAAACCTATTTCACTGATAACCATAATACCAGCAGCTTCTACACTAAATAACAAAAAATACAGTATTGTCAGAATATTGCATAATATTCCTGAAGTCTAACTTGACAAGCGATAGCCCCATGATATCCATTGTCAGCCATGGACAAACGAGAAACGCTAGAACACATTCTGTGCTGAGCCTGGGAAATAGGGGCATAACTCTTTAACCCAGTGGTCTCCAACTTTTTTATGCAGGATATACCCTGCCCCTTCTCCGAAGCCCCACCCCTTTCCTGAGGCCCCGCCCTGCTCACACCATTCCCCCCCCCCCCTCAGTCACTCACTCTCCCTCACTTTCATCAGGCTGGGGCAGGAGGTTGGGGCGTGGAAGGGGGTGCTGGTTCTGGGCTGGGGCCCCAGGGATTCGGAGTGTGGGAGGGGGCTCTGGGCTAAGCCTGGGGCAGGGGTGCAGGCGTGAGGGGTGCAAGCTCTGGGAGAGAGTTTGGGTGCAGGAGGGGGCTCCGGACTGGGGCAGAGAATTGGGGTGTAGGAGGAGGTGAGGGGTGTGGGCTCTGGGAGGGGGCTCCGGGCTGGGGCAGCGGAGCCGGGGAGGTGAGGTGCAGGCTACAGCCAGGAGGTGTTAACCACAGGCGGCTCCCGGCCAGCAGCGCAGCGGGGCTCAGGTGGACAGCGTGTCTGCCATGGCTCCACACTGCTCCCAGAAGTGGCTGGCTGCTGGCATGTCTCTGCAGCCCCTGGAGGGGAGGAGGGCAGTGGGTCTCCATGAGCTGCCCTCACCCACAAACACCATCCCCGCCAGTTCCCGGCCAATGGGAGATGTGGGGACAGAGGCAGCATGTGGAGCTACCTAACCCCACCCCAGGGGCCACAAAGACGAGCCAGCAGCCAGCCACTTCTGAGCCCCGCTGGACTTTTAGCGGCCCGAAGATTGCTATCGACTGGCAGAGGCTCCAGGATCGACCAGTCGATCCCAATTGACGGGTTGGTAACCACTGCTTTAACCCATCTTTCAATGGAGGCTAAGTGCCTACATATCTGAGAATCTGGGCCTTAGTCTCTTTGATTCAGTTCCATCTGTAGAATGTGGATAATAGCGAGTCAGGAGACACAGAGCATAAATACATTAACTGTTGTGAGGAATTTTAATAGTACGGAAATGGGGCCATGTAGGTACCCAAGAAAGAAGTCACATCTCATCACTGATCTTTTGACCTACCTTTCTTGGAGTTCTTTCATAGCTGGTGTTAGGTAGCTGGCTGTCACTAAGTTTACTTTGCTGTCAATGCACTTCTTAGCGACTAAAGGATGTGCTGAGTAAGGCAGCAAGCTAGCAAAAGAAAAATTGAATGTCAAAATCTGACTAGTTGGTGTTTTCATTGGAAGACAATTTGCAGAAAGTTTATTTCCATCTAGATGAGGTCTATTAACACAAGGGGCCTCCATCATTGATCTAAATGCAGTTTTTACACTGATTCAAGTGGGCGTGAATTCCTACCAAGTGGAATGGCACTGTTTTACACCCACTCTGCACTGCTGCAAGTGACTGTACAAAATGCAGGGCAGTGGAGGAGTGAGTTCAAATTCTCTCAACCCTTTGCAGGCCCCAGCTTTCAGTGTCACCTTTGTGAAAACACAACCAGGCCCTCATTTCCCAGTTCCACATTCTACACTGGTGCATTAAATATTTAACAGGTTCAAAGTAGAATGCTGTCTTGGAAGAAGCTTTCATTAAAAGTCCTGCTGAACCATCCCTGGAAGGGCACAGGCTGCCTGAAAAGGAGATATCACCCAGGACAAGTTCAGTGAGGGGGACTCAACAGCAAGCACTATAAAGCAGTTTCCATCCCTACTTTAATGCTAGTTTTAATGCTCAGAAAGAAAACCTTATACTCTTCAAACACATGACAGTAATGACCAAATTTGGCCTCTGTACATGTGCATGCAATTTAGCAAGCACTAATGACTGTATGTGTTTACTGAGCAACGTAACCAGCACATACAGGTGATGGCTTTGTGGGTGAATTCTGTCCCTCAAGTAGGCACAAATGTTTGTGCAATTAACACTGCATGCCCACGAAGGAGCAGAACAGAGAGCCATTTGAAAATCTTGCCTCTTTAACAAAGAAGAGAGAACACTGCATTAGATACAGTCCTGGTGCTCTTGTTTGCAGAGAGACAGGGACGTGGCTAGTCACTATCTGCCCCCCAACACACCTCATCTCCACCCCTTCCCTGAGTGCTGTGAGTGGGGGGAGGAGCACTATGCTGGCTTTACATCACCCAGTGATTCCCTGTACCTTGGTGAAATCCCCAGGTAGCTATTTAAAGGCAGCTACACAGGTGACTTGTGCCACTGAAGAAATGTAAAGGAGCCATAGCAAATCTCAGGATCAAGCCCTCGGTGTTTTAATCAGCATTCTGACCTGATCACAAGGTCGTGTGTCTTCACCAAGGAGGACAGTTTATCCTCGCACTTAATGATGTCCACATGAACAGAAGTAACATTGTTGTATTTCTTGGTCAGCTGGCCAAGTTGCTCCTTCATGATGGATGCTGTTTAAAAAAAATGAATGTCAACTGCTACACAAGTGAAATTGATTCTTACTTCCCTCCCAACCCCACTCCACAAAGTATCAAGGTAAAAACACCAACTGCACCCTCCATCCTGGTTCAAACTAGCAGAATAACCTAGTCATCATGCATCAAACTCCATTCACTGGCACTTGTCGCGTGGGTTCCTTCGCAAATACACAACTACACTCCACATCCATCTTTCTTTCTTTAAGTAAGCAGTTGCACAGAAAGTAGAAAGCAAAAGAAGGAGCACACTTGAAAGATAAAACAGGTGTAAGTGTCTCATGTCTTGACTTTTTTCTTCACTTTCTAGTGCGTTGCTCATATCAAGCTACAGCAGCTGTGACCTAAGGGATCCACAGGAGATAGTTACCCGGAGAAACAGTGATCCACTAAGGGAAACTGCAGAACAAGAACAGGAAATGAACAGCATTTCTGAGAACTCTGTTTTATTCCTTCCTGTTCTTTTTATTTATTTTGACCCCCTTCTCTTCCTAGCAGCCTTAGTTGCTGTCTCGAGTACGACCAAGCAGGTTGTTGTAGGAATCAGGAGAGACAGGTGGTCTCTTCCTGAGCCCTCGTGGGGCACCAACATTAGCCAATAATGAGGTGTTCCATGTGAAGTGAAAACGGCTACCCTTCCTCCCAACCTCAAAGCACACCTTCTCAATGTCTCTAGTCAGTCAGTGACATTGTAGGCTCCAATCACACAAAACATGGTTAATAACTGCAGCTGTTAACAGCGTTTTGTCCTCACCAGCAGCCTAGACTAGCACAAGTTTATCTTACAGTCAGCAATTCCACACACTACCTTGGCACAGCATCTGAAATTGTGCCTGCAACACTGGTTTGGCCAGCCCTCCTTTGTCCCAACTCTGTGCAGCAGGACATCCTCGAGTGCACTGCCTCCCATGCATCCTCCAGGCACTCTGTCCTCTGCTTAGGCATTATGGAATAGCTGCCCACATTTGCCAAGGATGCACCGATCCAAACACCATTAGGAAGTGTGGTGGATGCAGGACACAGAAACATGGTTGTGTTGGGTTAAAAAAAAAAAAAAGCTGCTGTGTGGACACAACTCAATGGGTTTTTTGATAGCTGGGTCAGATGGGAGTGACAGGTTGCAAAACAAAACACAGTTGTAGTTATAGTGTAGACAGGGCACGAAACCAACTCCCAAGCACGCCCCATGATATCTAATCTAGTCACTTATGTAGAACTGATGGAGGAGCGAGTAGATTCAAATGGAGATTAAGATATGGTTCCATGAGGAGGGCTGGAGCCTCAATATATATACCACTCACACAGTCTCTTAATATTTTTACTAGGAAAAAAAAGGCAATTAGAAAAATTAGAAATTTTTAAAAATTTCTAAAGTGAGTGGACTGCTGATAAAGGGACAGATCTGATTCCCTTCATCATTAGAAATGTGCTGGAACTGGATCCAAAAGATGATCCATTAGACAAAAATGCTTAAGGAATTCTTGCACAGAATGTAAGGAAAAGCCACATGGGGAGGGAGAACTACAATGGGGATACTCAGGACTGAGAAAATCTTGGTCACAATTCACAAGAGAGACACTGATGGGATCTCAGAAAGTATATTTCAGCTGGAATATTAATTATAGAATCATAGAATATCGGGGTTGGAAGGGACCTCAGAAGGTCATCTAGTCCAACCCCCTGCTCAAAGCAGGACCAATCCCCAGACAGATTTTTGCACCAGCTCCCTAAATGGCCCCCTCAAGGATTGAACTCACAACCCTGGGTTTAGCAGGTCAGTGCTAAAACCACTGAGCTATCCTTCCCATGCAATAGGACAAGAGCTGGGAGGAATAGAATAAAAGGGTATTGCCAGAAAATATACCAGCAGCTAGCTACGCTATGACCAGCCAAAACTACCACGAACTCATGCAGGCAAATGGTACCTGTTCTGAGATAAAGAGTCAGTGGAGAAACTGTTGGGGAAAAAAAATCAAGAGGATCAAACACAGAAAAGCCTGAAAGAAGAGGATCTAGATGGATGAAGCATTCTGCTCTGCCACTCCCAACACAATCTCGCATACAGCACCTAGAACTATGCGAACTCTGGACAGTGATTTATCTTGTCAATTTAGTGGACAACACTAGAAAACTAGTCTTAAATGTTGTGATATAGGGCCAGTTACACAACCCTTAGCCATGTGGAGTAGTCCTATGGCCATCAACAGGTTCACAGGCCTGAAAAGTAAACTGAAACACCGGGAACTGGGTTCAGGGGTCTGTTTCTCCTGCAACAGCTGATGGGATCAGAGAGCTGTAATCATTGCAATGTTTTAGGCATCCACGATCTCATCAGCTTGCAGGAGAAACTCTGTATCCATAGGCTGCTAAGAAAGAAAATGTTATTTGAAAGAGGTTTTTATTTGTAGGTTTAGGTCTACACATACTAGACAAAGTAGGAATTTAAATGGGTGGAGTTTATTTTAATTAATAAAATGAAGGGTCCTGGCACCAAAGAGTTTACTGTATGAAACAGAATGGAAAAGCAGCATGGTCTAGCGGGTAGGGGTGCTGGACTGGGAGTCAGGAGGTGCAAGTTTATTCCTGACTTTGCTACTTACCTGCTGTGTAATAGTAAACTAGTTACTTCACCTCTCTATGCATGTGTTTCACCTTCCACCCTTTATCTGTAGTCTATTTAAACTGCAAGCTCTTAGGAGCAAGGCCTGTCTGTTACTGTGTATTTGCACAATGCCTACTGCAATAGAGTCTCCAACTCAGCTGGGTTCTCTACATGCTACTGTAATTCAACCACCACTGCCACAGCAAAGGGCGACAAACAAGGTGGGATAGGTCGCACAGGTGGGCAAAGAAAGATCATGAGAGATGCTTGTTATAGACACGCACCTCATTAGCTCTTCTTAAGAGGGACTTGTCAACTATAATTTTTTAAGTGAACTAATTCCAAGAGAACCCATTCCCTAATGGAGCAGACTTTAATGAGTTTTTTTTAAGTCAGAGATCTCCTTCCCCTGGTGGTGACTGGAAGGTTATTTTGGCCAAACTTCCTCCCACTTTCCCCCTGATGTCTGTGCATACACCTGCCTGCTGCCTATTTGGTTTCAGCTTTGCTATCATTGTTGCTGATTAAACACATTCTTGTAGAGAAGGGGAAAGATAGTTCATACGAGCCTCCACCCCAGTGAAGCACATAAAAAAGTGGTGTCATCATGCTTTGGCATGACAGAAAGTGCAGCTGACTGTCAAGCAAAGAATGAAACTGACTATGCACGAAATACTGGCAGATGCAGGAATTAAGCTGAAAAGAAAAATAGTCTCTGCAGTCTCTTCCTAGGCACTACTTGTAACAAGAAGTAGGTAAAATATTTTCAGATAGCAATGTGATTTTCAAGTTGGTCTCTCTTTAAGGTGTTCTTAAAGCTACAGAATAATTTTTTGAATGAGGTGCACAATAGTTACAAATGTAGAATATATCTTCAGATTTCCCATAGCACACTTCATATGCTTTTAAATAGAAGTTTTTAGCATGCTGCTATGCTGGTACAAAAAAGAATTATTTCAATACACACTATACATACTTGAAGCTTAATACAGTTCTTTAATACTTGAAAGCAAGCAAGGCCTTACGTACCTGCGGTGATTTCTACATTGGGATCTCTAGTGAGGTATTCTATCACAGGGCCAGAAACATAGCCAGATCCAAGTAACAAGACCCTCTTCTTATCCCTGGTTAGTGACCGCGAGTATTCCCTAGAGGGGTTATAGTCAAAATTAAAACATACAGGAAACTGCTGAAGCCAATGTCAAGTCAGTATGTTTTCGTAAGTTTACAAACCAAGAGCTCATTTCAGGAAGAAGTTTAAAATCTGCGGCCTGATTATCTAACCAAAGTACAATGTCACTTCCCTAAGCTTTTTCAAAATTTCTATTGCACAACGCCAACTTCAGGGAAAGTGAACTAAGAAGTCTAAATCCAGCCTCAAAAAGGGTCACACCACTCGATACCTGTTCCATTGTTCCTCCAGCAGCTACTGCAGCTGCGACTTCATTCCTCCTCAGAAGTCACTGAATTTTCCTCAACAGCCAAACTAGTCCAACCTCAGATTGTGAATTTGGTAGAGCCCTGCCATGAAAAACGTGTCACAGACCATGAAATCTGGTCTCCCCCCCATTAAATCTGATCTTTTGTGTGCTTTTACCCTATACTATACAAAATTCACTGGGGAGACGAGCATTTCCCAAATTGGACATCCTGACCCAAAAGGGAGATGCAGGGGGTCACAAGGTTATTTTAGGGGGGTTGTGGTATTCTGTGCTGCCTTCAGAGTTGGACAGCCAGAGAGCAGCAATAAGCTACCTAGCTCTGAAGGTAGTACCCGGCCAGCAGCAGTGCAAAAGTAAGGGTGGCATTGCCGCCCTTACTTCTGCCTTCAGAATTGGGCTCCCAGCCAACAGCTGCTGCTCTCCAGCTGTCCAGCTCTGAAGGCAGCGCCGCCACCAGCAGCAGTGCAGAAGTTGCAGTAGAAGTACTGCAAACCCTCCTCCCATCCCCCCCCTCCCCCACCACACACACACATTAACCTTGCGATCTCCCCCCCCCCCCACAGATCCTTTTTGGGTCAGGACCCCTACAATTTACAACACTGACATTTCAGATTTAAATAGCTGAAATCATGAAATTTACAATTTTTAAAATCCTATGACCATGAAATTGACTAAAATGGACCTTGAATTTGGTAGGGCCCTACTCATAGGCCCAAAGACTTTAAGGCCAGCAAGGATCATCATGATCATCGAATACAAACTTTTGAACATTGCAAGAGAACCTCACCCATCCAGTCCTGCAATAGGCCCACAACTTCTGTCTGAGTTACAGAAGTTCTCAAATCTAACTTGAAGTCTTCAAATCAAAAAAGAATCCATCATTTACTCTACTTCAAAAAACAACCTGACCACTTCTGGGCTAGTGATCGGATTGTATCATCTTGGACTAACATTGCAAGGTTCCAGATTGTGCCTAGCTCCCTCCATCATCTGTGACCTCTAAGCTGAGAGACCAACTTTGGACAGATTATACCAGAGTCACTTCAGGGCATCGTGGGAACCTATATAGACAGATAGCATCTACATAATAAAACCTGCTTGTACACATGGTCCCAGATTTGACAACAGTCCCAGCATTACTTCATGAACCACCAACACCCGCTAAATATCACTTTGTAGATCTTTTGGCGTGGTAGGACAAAGAATCTTTCCTCCAATAGCCCCATCATCAGTTCGGATGCAAGATCCTCCTCACTAAGGATACTACTCTCAGACACAGAGAGAAAGAGTGAGGACTTCTTCACACATTCCATGCCTACACCAGATGTGTACATACAGACAGACATATGAAGAGGGGTAAAGTAGATTGCACCACCAATGCCGGAACAGAGGAAAGACTCCTTGCAGAAGAAATGGCTTTTGCAGTATCAAGCTTCTAAACACACTGATCTCTAGCTCGAGCTGTCCAATGGCAAGAGTTTGACCAAAACTGGGATTGGCTGATCCCTGCCTGTATTTGTGCTTGTCTGTTACAAGCTACTAAGATATTTTTGGTACATCAATAATTGCAGCAAAGCTTTTATATTCCAGAAAAGAACATGTGAACTATTGCCCATCATGAACATACATGTGAGTGGTTCAATTAAGTAATCTTTGTACAGCACTTTGGACATTTAGGTTAGTTAAAGAGATGTGTCATTTGCAGCTGTGCAAGAGGAACAGATAACCAGCATAAGCTATGCAGTGGTGAAAAGATTATAGAGAAGGGTATAATAAGCCATCAAACTTCTCTCCTCTCCTCATATTTTAAACAGTAAGTTCACTTGCATTAGTTCCAAAGAAATCCAAAGGGAAGGCATCAGAGAAAAGGCTCTGGCCACCCTTCTTTTAGGCACAATACACTGTTTTGCGGAAAGATCAAAAAAATCTACACACAAGTTGACCCTTTACCAAAGGGATTTTCAGCTTCTTAACCTCTTGCATGGTCTAGTGTGAGCTAAGAAGGGTGCCAGAAGACAGGCCACAATTCTGCGCCAGGAATAAGAAGGTATATTAGTGAAGACAATCGGCTAAGATCTATCCATCACAACAGCATATGCTGTAAGCTGTGGTCTTCCAGAAGCAAATGACTTGCTCCACTACCAAAGAAAAGGGTGCAATAATACCTGTAAATAATTCCTCTTCTTCATTTAAAACAGAATTTTCCTAATATCCTCAGAGGGATTCACTATTAATTATCTGGACCCATTATATTTAAAAAATTTTTGCAACCCAGATGTTAAGTAAATGAGGAAAATGACATATTACATTGTTTTTAAGGTACATTCATGGACCTAGTGCTTAAATCCATGTTTATTTCCTTTGTGTTTTTCCTATTTTCTTTAAAATTACATGTGCTCCAGCCATAACTAGCCAAAAAACCCACAAAGACAGAGTTAATCACTGCCATAACAACGCTACTCTGTAAAAAGCATAAAAATAAAACATGTGTTGGTTACTAGGAATAACTGAAGAGTCAGGGAGGGAAATTGTATGTTAAGTGAATGAAGCTAACCCCATCTGCTCCATTCATTTTTATCACTGCAAGATAAAAAAAGAGACATGACAAGGATAGAATGGTACCTCAGGTGATGGGCATAGTACAAGTCTAATGGAAAGTTAGAGGCCTTTATGCAGAATCCTGAATACACCCAATTACAGAAGAGTGCTGCACATCAGTGGGGCAAAGAGGAACACCTCTTCCTGAGGGCAAGAACTGCAAGTCTATAGTACTAAAACTGGAAGTCTGCAAAATTATATTACTGGTCCTCAGAACCCAACCACCCCTAAATAAGCTAGTGTTGCATGTTTGGAAGGTGCAAGGAGGGAATAATACAGTTAGCATGCAATTATTTTCCATCTGAGAAATCCAGATTACTAACATGGCACACATTTGTCACCTTGGCTGTTTCCTCAGGTTCAGCTTTAAATTAGTAATATATGCTAATGGGGTTAGACACAGTAGGGAGATTCAACCCAGGATACATTTAACCACATAAATTAACACAGCTGAATTTCACCAACAGTTAGTTAAATGAAAAAAAAAAAGGTAGAAGGCAAGCATGGTTATTTAAAACCCAAGTCACAGAATCAAGACAATGAGAAACTTAAACCACACTATACATTACCTGCTCTCCCTCAATTTCTGGATATATTTATACTTATCAGTCAATGAACCATTGGACGTAATCACTGCCTACAAAGTATATGAAACATAAAATTACTTTTCCTACATCTGAACTTTACATATCTAGGTCAGAAGAGGAATGGAAATAGCTTGAAAGACTTACATCTCGTACAACAGGTGAATAATTCTGGCTTTCGAGAGGCTGTGAGCCGTCAGATAACAGCTGTGGAGATGAAGGATTTCAGTCAGAGCATTTTATTTCCCACATATATTCAGAGAACTTTCAGAGATAAATCCTCTTTGGAAAAATTTCCTTCATTAAAAAAAGGAAACTGTTAAGGTTTTAAGGCATATTAAAATACATGCAGGAACTGCACATAAAAGAACCTTTGAAACCCTCCTGACCCATAGAATTAATTGTTTCAAGTGACTTTCATTCCCATTGACTTTCAATGAGACTTCGGCTCTTACATGCCAAAGTCACTTTTGAAAATGGGACTTTGGTGCCTTTGGAAATTTTACCTCACACATCGTGGAGCAATCATTTTTCAGACTGATTCAGTTATGTTCTACAGCAGATTTTTTTAAAATCTATATATGGCAGACCAGAAGAGCCACATAATACAATCAAAGTTTAAGTTCAAACTTTCACTCTGTCACTGAATACACGAGGCCTTACCATCTCTTCAATATAAGTTAAGAGCATGTCTCCAAAGTATTCTGTTGCTTCTATAGGAAGCTGGGCTGGTAAGTTGTCAATGGAACACATCAGAATCCCAGAGCCTTCCACACTGGAAGAGAAAACATGATGATTCCATGTCACATTTTCTTGGTCATATCTTTAGCGGTCATGTTTCAAAAGCATGACTCTTCATATAGTAGTCTGAGTAGAATATGATATTGAAACACAAAGTACAGTGCAAATTAAAGGTTCTCCCACCTGCCATGAATAATATGCTGGTCAGCATCATACATACAAAATGGACTGTCAATTGATGTACACTCGGTCATAAATTCTATGGATCCTCCAGTATCTGCTGAAATGTCACATATTGCCATAAGTCTAAAGTAATTAAATAAAAACAATGAACAAGAACATCCAAACTCAAATAAGAATCGTTACAAAAGATCAGAAGATTGTTCTTTACAAGAGTTTCAACCAGACTTATCAGACACAGATAAGTAAGTTGGGGAAAAGTCAACATGTTTTTTCTAAAGGAAAATCATGCCTCACCAATTTACTAGAATGCTTGGAGTGGGTCAACAACTTTGTGGGATGATCCACTAGGTATAGTGTACTTGGACTTTCAGAAAGCCTTTGATGAGGTCCCTCACCAAAGGCTCGTAAGCAAACTAAGCAGTCATGGGATAAGAAGGAAGGCCCTCTCATGGTTCAGTAACTGGTTAAAAGATAAGAAACCAAAAGGTAGAAATAATGGTCAGTTTTCATGATAAAAAGAGGTAAATAACAGGATGCCCCAAGGATCTGTACTGGAACTTTTACTGTTCAACATATTCATAAGCTATCTGGGAAAGGAGGTGAACAGTCGGGTGGCAAAGTTTGCTGACAATACAAAATTACTCAAGATGGCAGTCTGCTTTGGACGTGGCACAGTTCCAAAGGGATCTCACAAAACTAGGTGATTGGGCAACAAAATGGCAGATGAAATCAAATGTTGGTAAGTGCAAAGTAATGCACATTGCAAAACAAATGCCAACTATACATACAAAATGATTTGATCTAAATTAGCTGTTACTACTCAAGAAAGATCTTGGAGTCATTGAGGATAGTTAAGAACATAAGAATGGCCATACTGGGTCAGACCAAAGGTCCATCTAGCCCGGTATCCTGTCTACTGACAGTGGCCAGTGCCAGGTGCCCCAGAGGGAATGAACAGAACAGGTAATCATCAAGTGATCCATGCCCTGTCGCCCATTCCCCAGCTTCTGGCAAACAGAGCTTAGCGACCTCTCTGAAAACATCCACTCAACATGTAGCAGCAGCAGCTAAAGCTAACAAAATGATTTGGGGTATGAAACAGCTGCCATACATGGAGAAATTAAAACAGACAGACTATTCAGCTTAGAAAAGAGACTACTACAGGGAAATATGATAGAGGTCTATAAAATCATGAATGGTGTGAAGAAAGTGACTAGGAAATATTATTTACTCCTTCACATAACACAAGAACCAGGGTCACCTAATGAAATTAACAAACAGCAGGTTTAAAAGAAACAAAAGGAAGTACTACTTCACACAATGCACCAGGGTTGTTGTGAAGGCCAAAACTAACTGGATTCAAAATGAATTAGCTGAGTTCATGGGGGACAGGTTTATAAGTGGCTATTAGCCAAAATGATCAGGGATGCAATCCCACACTCTGGGTGTCTTCAGTCTCTAACTGCTAAAAGCTGGGAGTGGAAGCACCTGGCATTGGCCACTTTCAGAAGACAGGATACTGGGCTAAATGGACCATTGGCCTCACCCAGTATGGCTGTTCTTATGTCCAGAAAGGAACCACTTGTAACGGACATGGGGCAGGTATTTTCTGTAATTAATAAAATAATCTATTGAAAGACACTTATCTTACCAGGAATTGTAGTAACAGACTATTTCTATAATGATTTGGTTATAGATATCTTTTTTAAAATCAATAAAATTAGTAGATAGTTAAAGAGATGTCTTTAACTATCAATTACATAAACCAGACACCATAAAAAGGAGACCATGATCAATAGTTTATTTTCTTTGCCTCTTCTGTGAGCACAGGTAGTATATAAAGAGATTCCTACTATTATAGATGTATGTTGTAATGGACAACATGATGTCATTGATAAGGGAGGCCCTTAAATACTCAGTAATTGACAAAAATGGACAAGAAACGTGGTACAGCAGATGTTTTCAATAATCAATGTATCAGCAAAATATTAAAGTATGGATTAACATCTAAGACTTAAGAGCTAGTTGTGCTTACTGATTTATCATTACTAGGACAATATGTTACAATTATCACTGGTTTATTGCTTCATAAATAAGGTCAAGTATGAAAAAAGATTTTTCTTTGTTCTAAACAGTATGTTAGAGGTGAGTTTTAGGGAGTTAGTCACAAGTGAACTCAGGTAGGGGGCCACACTTCACCAGTCTCAAATTTGCAATGTAGGTTCTCTTTTCTGTATAGCATTCTATTAGTTAAGACAACATGAAATACTTAACTCAGCTGAAGTATTTGATTTATTAAATCTGCACACACAACATCTGTCACATTTGTTCTCTCATCCTTTCCCCAGAGAGAGAAATATGTGCAGGGTTAACTTAATTTACAAATCTGCCATTTATCAATAGTACAAATGAATGACATTTCTAAGTGGGATGTACAAATTCCAAAAGGTAACAAAGGAATAGGGAAGCATGTGGGAAAAGAAAGCAGGATGGGTTGGGTGTTCTGCTCCTAAGTTTCTCTCATATACTGTCAATGTATTTATTAGATGCTTTGCTGAAACCACTGATCCTTATTATTTAATTAGAATGCTAGAGAATAATTCTTACTCTCAAACAAAGGTGCCTTACTTGTGTGGTAATTCTGGACAACCCTCAGTTGCAGCAGCAGAAGGTTTAACCGGAGCCAACAACTTTTTTGCATCGTATCGATTCAACAAGCGAGGGGTGTGTTGCTCCCAGTATATTCCATTAATCAAACAAGTAGTGTACGGTGCAATCTGCAAAGAAAGTCACAAATTCCAGAATCTCTCACATGGATGTTATTGATAGTCAAGGGAACTTGCATTTGATCTAGCTTTTTAGACAAGTGATACCCTAACTACAGAGAACGTGGAACAATATTTGGAAAGCCTTGTACTGAGAGAACAGCAGCAATACTCACATCAGTATTAAAACGAGAAGTGTAGAGTTCTGGATGTTTGTCGTATTCCTCTGGATCATACACCCCATCGGTCTTCCTTACAAGATGATGGTGACGACTTAACACTGTCCCATATACTTTCCTAAGGTCTGCAATAAAGAGGAGAAAGTCAGTTATTTAAGAAGCAATACCGTTGGGCAGAGATTCTAAAGCTCATCACACTTGTGCCTTAGCATTACCTCCAGATTTGGAAACCTCCCTCAGTTCATGTGCCTCCACATACTCACAGGGGAGTTCATTGAACACTTCTTGGGCACCCTGCAGATAAAAATATGACCCAGAATCATGTGGACATCAACGAAGAGTACAGGATGTTGAAAAATTGCAGAAAGAAAATTGTTAAATTTTGCATTCACAGAATGTTCACAAGGGCTCATTTTCAATGGGTCTTGCCAGATTATATTGTCTCTATAGAGATACATAATAATCCACGTGTGCTAAGTACCTGCCTGAAATGGAATGCTGCCTGAACTCTGGTCCACTGTGTAACACGAGCAAGTGTTCATTTTAGTTTAGTCAACTAAAAACAAAAAGTCACCAGATAGGTCTTCAGAGCATTGTTAACTGGAGTTAGAACGCGAGTATTACCCCTAATTCGACTCCCAGCCACACACACCTATCTCTAGCTTGAGTTAAGTGGTTCTTTTCACTCTAGCTAGCTAGCCTGTTGGGAGTGGGACAGCAGAGGAGGGGGTCTGTTGACGTTCCAGTGCTGCTGAAGCTTGAGCTAGTAAGGCAATGAGGATGCAACAGCTTGAGTTATAAGTCAGCAGCGGCTACCCCAATCGCTCTGTAAAACTCAAATGTTATTTTGAAGCATGTTTGCTCTCAGCTCCAGGGTCCCTACTCTGGCTGATAATCTGCACCGAAGCCTGTGCCACCACCGCTACACTCCTATCGGTACCCATGCTAGCTAGATTAAAGTGAATACAGATGTTCTTCAGCTAAACCAATGAAACTTTATGCAAATCGCCCCCACTGTTGAAAGTCTTTTTCATAAGGTTCTTTACCATCCATATAAACCTTTCCACAAGTCCCTTTGATTGGTATTTTCATCACACAACACCTGCAAGGATAAGGCTTTTTCCTGTAGCCATATTGTAAGGTCTGAGGCCTTTGTCTGCAGTCATATTAGGAGAGCAGCAGCCATGAGCTAAGAAGCAGACAGTGTCATCCTCACATTCCATCTAAATGCCATTAAACCAGTGCAATATCGGTTTGTTAAGAAGGCTCCTGTCCTAACAGGACCCACCACCATCAGATAAAGAAACAAATCTTAAGATGGTTAAAGAAAACTTCGTTTGATGCCATTCTGTCTGGCAAGAAACCACATATCAAGTTGTGGATGTGAAATCCCTACTTTATTGTTTTGTCTTTATGGTTCCCCACTTTGCCAGTGTTTATCTGTACGGTCTCTTTCTCGTGCTTTGATTGTTTCGGTCTGTTACAGAATTAATTTTGCTAGGTGTAAAAATCAATTAAGGTGGTGGGGTTGATTAGAGAATTGTTTTACAAGGTTAGGATTGGTTAGAAAATGGTTTAGTAATATTTTAGTAAAATGATTGGTTAAGGTACAACTAAGCAGGACTCAAGTTTCACTATATAAATTAGGGTCCAAAAGGAAGTTCTTGGGAACCAACTCCAGGACACAGCCCCAAGATCAGAGCTGCCAGGCCTCAACACTCTGCTAATGACACCGTGCGGAAGCTGGATCTCCCCAGATGACCTGATCCTGACTGGCCATCATGAAAAGTTCATCTGCCTTACTGGGAGTGGTGAGCATTGTATGCTTAGTGTGTGCATTCTGTTTTGGTAATTAATAATAAATAGAGATTAAGTAGGATACTACTGTGTAAGGCTCTTTCACTGGTAAAAGACCCTACAAACCTGCAGAGTATAAGGTTACGCCCTGAGCCCACGGAAGGGTAAGAGTAGGTGCCTAAATTAACAGGGTTATGTCTGAATCCTAGGAACAGGGTAAGGGTGGGTACCCTAGAGTGTGACGGTAACAGAATTTTGTGCAGGTAACATATCAAGCCTAATTTACACTCAATCTATGGCAAATGGCCTAAAATCCACATTGGAAAGTTACAGCCCCTTATTGCTAAAGACTTCATCTGGACTTCCACATCTGGAAAAGATTACCTTCATGCCAGCTACCACTATTAGTACTGTGAAGTGTGCAAATTTCTGGATCAGAGAATAATCTGTGATATTTAAAAAACCCTTTAATTACCAGGTAAATAAATCAGTGCCTACATTCTCCTAAAGGCCTTTATGGAACTGGGTGAGATCTCAGCAGCTCTGCCTGCTGACATGGCTTGTACTGAAGCATGAAAAGCAGTTTCCTACTGCATTAGTAATGTCGTGATTGATCCACGGCCAATACAGTACATCTCATGCTAATTGTTTGCACTTCTCAATTCCTAAGTGACCCTTATGGCTCTTCTGTAGCATTTCTTTCTGGAGGCTCATTGGTATTACAATGTTGCTGCCCTTGAAAAATCACCCTATGTCTGCAGTTCCAAGTCTTATACTTGTACAGCAACTGCTTTTTCTTCAGGCCACCCTTTAATTATTACTTCTTTAAGGATCCCCAGTGATTCATCTTTCTCTATTTGCCCTCTTTGTTGCAGGTTCTAGTTAGCTATGGGAATGGACTTTACAATCAGAACTAGGCTTGCATCTTTATCTCAAAGGTCTTCTTTGGTTTCATAGTGGCAGTCATCATTCTAGAAAGTGCATCTGTAGTAAACATGAATTTACCAGACACGTAGGTCACAACCAAAAATCAAACTTTTGCAGCTTTATCATTAGTCTTTGAACCCAAAAGATGCTATCAGGGTCTTGTAGTCCATTTCAACAGCCGTTGTCTGATCATAAATATACGGATTCACTCTCTCAAGGAGAAACCGTATTCCTAAAAGCTTAGACTCAGAGTGTGTGTGTGTGTGTGTGTGTGTCTTATTTCCACATCAGTCAGTTATTTTGAATGTGTATGCCACTGGTTGCCAACAATCCTCATACTTCTGTAAAGTAACTGCACCTAACCCAGACTGACGCATCTGCTGAAGTTTTAACAGGCCTGCCTGGTGAGTAGAACTTCAACACTGGCTCTTGGATAAGTTGTTGTTGCAAACTTGCCAACAATTCCTCCTGTTCTGTACCACAGGACTATTCATTTTTATTTTCTAGGAGTTTCCTCAAAGCCACTGATTTTGTAAATAGATTAGATATGAAGTTTCCAAGATTATTAACCATTCCCAGGAAACATTGGACATCTTTCTTTGATGGAGAACATGGCATCATTTCAATGGCTTGAAATCGTCCTCTTATCAGGTTTTACATCTTTGTTGGAAAGATCTCCAGCAAAAAAGTCAGTTCTGTAACCTCTAAAACACATTTCTCCCTATTTAGTTTCAAGTTTGCAGCTCTAGTTGCATCCAAGACTTCCCAAAGTCTACAATCATGTTTCTCTTTAGCTGAGCCCCAGATGATGTCATTCATTGAAGTGTCAACACCATTAATAAGTTCACAGATCACATGCATGGTTTTGTGGTACACTTCTTGTGCTGAAGTTATGCCAAAGGGTAAGCATAAGAATTTGTCTTCCAAATTGGGTAGTAGATGTGCATAGTTGAGAGATTTTTTTCAGTGAATTTTAGCTGCCAAATTGCTAAGAATGCATCCAATTTACTGAAATATTGTGCATTCGCAAACTGAACCACAATATCTTCTCTGATTGGCAGTGTGAAATATTGTCTTTTTATAGCTTTATTGAGGTCTCTCTGATCTAAGCACATGCATAGATGGCCATTATTTATCACCACAATGACTAGGGAGCTCACCCTTTCCATTGGCTCCTCAATTTTTTGTATTGCTTGCATTGCTTCCATCCCTGTGAGCTCAACCTTGAGTTTATCATGGAATGCAAATGGCACCTTTCTAAAGGTGGGGGGAGGGATAGCTCAGTGGTTTGAGCATTGGCCTGCTAAACCCAGGGTTGTGAGTTCAATCCTGGAGGGGGCCACTTGGGGATCTGGGGCAAAATCAGTACTTGGTCCTGCTAGTGAAGGCAGGGGGCTGGACTCGATGACCTTTCAAGGTCCCTTCCAGTTCTAGGAGATGGGATATCTCCATTAATTTATTTAAAAGGCTGGACAACTGGAGGGACACGCCTGACTGTTTATGTGGATTGTATATTCACCATACAAGTAATGCAACCCTTGAAACCAATCAGGATATTCCCCAATGAGTGCCTCATAGCCAGGCTCAGTATGATGTAGTGAAAGCACCCATTTCACCAGATTTAGCCGTGGCTACCTATGTAAAATACAAAATTGGGGTCATCTCCTTTGGCACTACAACAAGCAAGAACCTGTACGTGAGGCTTTTCTAGTTGATGCTAGCAATGCACCTTCAATAGTATATTTGTTCCAGAATAACCAGTTACCTAAACTATGACCAAAAAAAGAAAATGGAAGTCTTAGTTTCAGCCTCTCATAATTTTGTTCAGACTGAATATTAACCTGAGCTCCTGTGTCTCATTTGAGTGCAGTAATTGTTTCATTCACTTTCATAGGCAGTATCCAGTCCCTCTCATCAGGTTTGCTAGATTCCAGCAAGTAAAACTCCTCAGCCAGATTGTCTTCAGTTGAATGCATTTGACGTTCCTGCATTTTGGATCAGCAGCATTTTGCAAAATGCTTTTTGCCCACATTTATGAGAGTTTCCCAAAAGCAAAAACACAGCATGGGGCCATACTGTGATCCACACATTACACATTCCTCCCTTCTGCAGTGGTTTTCATAGCAAGTGGTTCCACTTTTTGATTTAGCCTTGTCTGGCTATATTGGGGGGGCGGCGGGGGACAAATTTCCTATCCTAAAGTGGCACTTCCAAAGTGTTAAACTGAGGAAAGAAGAGTCAAAGTCATTTATCGAATTATGGACATTGATTCAGAGATATTTTCATAACAAAACCTGTTTCCTCTGTATGATCTTGCAGTGAAGTTATAGTCTGAGGTTTATGACCAAAGCCACTGACAGACTACTACATACACACACTCTAATTCCCTCTGGGACACCCGACCCCTGATCATACATCTCAATTTGATCCTTGCCAATAGGCTTGTTACTCCCACTCCAAACCTCACGCTCTCCCATAGACCTCAAAAACTCCATCGCATCAGTATGGCTCCTCTAACTACTCCTGAGGGCATTCTGCACCAAATATTAAAAATTCTCATAATATTTCAAAATTCTGCAAGTTTTATTTGTCAATAAATAAAGGCATAGGCTCCAGCATGGTAGTGGGGAGCACAGGCCACTGGCTGCATGAAGGTGGGAGATCACCCTGCAGGCTCCCCACCCTGAGGACACAAACTCAGTGGTGAGGTTGCACCTCACCTTGACACAGCACAAGGCCTGGGCCTGTCCCAGAAACACCCTGGGGCCCTGCCCCTCTGCACACCAGGTGTGGGGCAGGCAGGCTCAACCAGGCAGGATCCAAGTGTGGAGGGGCTCAGTGTGGGGGGGATCCAGGTGTGGGGTGAGAGGATTCTGTGTAGGACAATCTGGATACAGGCAGCTCAGTGGAGGGGGGTGTAGGTATAGGGGGATCTGGATGCACAGAGGCTCGCTGCGGGGGTTCCAGGTGCAGGGGCAATGGGACCCTGCAGGGGCTTCCAGGTGAAAGTGGTTGGGACTCAGCGGAGAGGTCTCAATGCAGCTCACTGGGGTCAGTAGCCTGGAGGTCTGGATGTGGAGGCTCAGAGAGGTGCAGGGGGTGGGGCTCATCGGGGTGGGGGTTTGAGTGCAGGGAGCTCAGTGGTGGGGTGGTCTGGGTTCAGGGGTGAGGGTATCTGTGTGCAGGGGGCTCCAGATGCAGGGGGTTGAGGTTCAATGGGGTGGGGCTCAGGGGGGTTATGGGTGAGGCTTGGCAGAGATATCCCATCAGGGGTATGGGAGGTCCGGATGCACGGGGGTTGGGCAAATGGGGGAGCAGCTCCCCATACAGTGACCCCCTCCCCCTGCAGCTGAGGAGGATGCTGAGCTTCCTGCAGCTGGGGGAGGTTTCTAGGGGTGGGTCTGACAGCCCCAGCCACTCCTTGCAGGGGAAGAGGATGTCCCATCCTCTCCTGCCTCCAACCCAGACAAAACTAGCAGCTGATCCCGGCTCAGGGTAGGAGCCACTGGCAGGGGTATCCCCAGCCCTGCGGTGATTTGCCTCTCCGCTGGCTGCTCTGGGTGCCTGAAATGATGTACCTGCGCAGCTAGGGAGTGGTGCGTGACTGCTCTTGCAGCTTCCCTTTGCTTCCATCAGAAAGTCCTTTTTCTGTGGGGAAGCAAAAAAATCTGCAGAGGACATGAATTCTGTGCATGCACAGTGGTGCAAAATTCTCCTAGGAGTATCTAACCAGCAGAGGATTCTCTTCTGTGCATGAATACCCACAGCTTCCAGACAATGATTGGGGGGGGGGGAAGGAGGGGGAAGATGGAGAGAAATACCTTAGACTGCATCTAGGTTCAGCTGGGAAGAGGTGCAGGTATCAAAGCCTTTCTGGATTGGGGAAGAAGACGACCAAGACGGCATGCAGCTAGGAAGGGCCTGTGCTGGTTAGTGAACCAGGGGAGTAGCAGGTGACTGGAAAAGAGTCTGCTCTAGGGACACATGTTGTCAGCATCTAATCCTCTTCCAGAGCCTCCTCTTTTTCCTGAATGGCAGCAGCTGTTCTTTTGACACTTCTTCCTATGGCAGGTGGGACAACGGATATTCCCCTCTGGCTCTTCCTGGGTTTCATGGAGAATTGCCTGCAGGATTATGGTGTCTCTGAGGCTTGGTTGACCCCAGAAAAGAGTTTCACCGCTGATTCTGGGCTTACATTTCACTTTAGCACATCTTCATTGGCTTCTCCTGACAGACCATCAACCATGTTCCACATCAGTCGCTCACTGCAGCCAACAGCAGGCTAGTAGTCTCTTGCCTAAGGATGTATGCTAAAGGGGTGTGTGAATGTAATGGAGACTGCACCCTGCAACCACTAAGCCCAAAAAGGCAAAGAGCTTCTGCAGATGACTGCATCTCAGGAGTAGTGGAGAGTAACCCATCCATCGGATCAACCATCCATCCTTTAGGTAGAGACCAACATCAAGTCTTACACCACATAAATAATGCAGAAGACTAACCTTCTTTGAGGAATAATGTATACAGACAGATAAAGCAAACAGAAATCCTCTCCCATAGTCATCCTTATCCATTCTATAGCATTTAAGGGGGTGAGGAGCAGCTTTCATTGACAGTGCATCCTCATTTTTATGATTCATGTCTAGTAATCAGTATCATAGCTCCTCTACAGGCACAAGTCTAGGGTAACTAGGAATTCGTACCACATCGTGGCAAAAAAACCTAGAAGCAAGAGTACTGTGCAAATTAATTCTATCATAAAACTGCATACAGTGAGTCTACAAGATGCAGAAATAGGACTTGGGTAAAAAGATACATCAAAAATGAGAATTGCATTGGTGGGGGAAGGACTTCTTACCTTAGAAACATTACCAGTGCCTGTAAACACAAATGTTAAGGGTCCAATCGACTTTGGCATCAAACCCAGAGAGATTTCATAGCCAGCATCCCGCACTGCCTGCACAGCCTGGCTGCTGTTCCTGTAGTTGTGAGCCATACCAATGTGCTGAAACCAGACACAAAGGGTTCTCGTCAATATGTTTGTCCAGATCCAATGATATTTCTTTTTACTAAAATGTTTAAGTGATATTATGTAAAAATCTTACCATGAAAGGAGTGTGATGTCCTAGGGCAAGCAATCGTAATCCCATTCCATGTAAAATATTGATCATTCCTATTTCAGAATTATACAGTTAATATAATTAAGAATGGACATACAGGATCTACAGTGACTGATACCTAAGATCTTCCTGGACTCCAGATAAAACACAGGTTCAGTAGCAGATTTGGATCTCAGTCCTCCATTTGGCATCCTTCAAACATGCCAATGTTTTGGGGGTTTTTTGTTTGGTTGGTGGTTTTATTTTTTGAGAGAGAGGGACCACCATGTTAGGAGTGGAGGAGGAGGGAAGAGAGACAAGCCCACACCACTAAATTCCACTGAAGAGTAGTAAGCTTTTTGGAGATACAGTGGAAAAACAATAAATACTTTAATACAAAGCTATCAGGACCATGTCACAAAAAGAGGGCTGATTAGTATGTGTTGTAGCTTCACCATGCACTTTGGCTCACAGGGAAGGTGATAGACATTTCTTTCTAGAGCACACATTCTGTAGGTCTAGGGTCACTGATTCTCCTTCCAGTGAGGTTGAGTATCTACTCTCCTGGCAAGAGAAATACTGGTTCTGTATAGATAGATGCAGGGCCGGTGCAAGGAAGTTTCACGCCCTAGGGGAAACTTCCACCTTGCGTGCCCCCCCGCCCTGAGGTGCCCCCCACCCCGTGGCAGCTCCCCCACCAGGGAGCCGTGCGGCAGCTCCCCACCCCAGCTCACCTCTGCTCCGCCTCCTCCCCGAGCACGCCACCCCCACTCTAATTCTCCTCCTCTCCCAGGCTTGCAGCCAAACAGCTGATTGGTGCTGCAAGCCTGGGAGGCGGGAGAAGTGCAGCGGCGACCGCGCGCTCGGAGAGGGGGCGTAGGAACGCTGTAAAAAAAAGATTTGGGGGCACCACTTTTTGGCGCCCCCAAATCTTGGCATCCTAGGCACCCGCCTAGTTTGCTTTAACGGTAGTATCGGCCCTGGATAGATGGGACTTTATAGGAAGTAAAATAATGGAGTTGGGGAGAATCCTCAGGACGTTGACTATCCTGTGTGCCAGGAATTAGCAACAGGCTAGAAAAAGATTCTCTGGAGCTGCACAGCAGCTACAAAAAGCACCACAGGCCTGGATTCTCAGGAAGTTAATGTAAACTGAAAAGGTGCTGATATTGGTGGAGCATTATTAGTTCTAGGCCTACTTATTGTATAGTGCACTATACCTGCTACACCAGCCCACTGTCCAAAGGCTACCACTCGTAGTCCTCTGTGATCAACCATTTTCTCATAGTCAATCAATCGAATTTCCTGAAAATACATAAAAAGTTGCTTTTATGTTTTCACTAAAAGTTTGATTTTTAACAGCAAAATAAAGGATGTACTGCTTTCATGGGAACTGCTTTTACATGCACGTCTGTCACCTTTTGTGCATGAGACAGGCCGATGCACAGGACTGAGTTTTCAACTATAGGGAAAAAATAGTTTTTTTAAGAACAGGTTGACTTTGGCTTGCTTGGTTTATAACCAGAGTCTCCATAATGTTTTTAAGTGAAGAAATAAAATGTTAGCACTGCAAGCAGCAGATCGTTGGAACGAAACATGACCATCTTCGAGGAACCTAGAGAGGAAGATCTTCATCTAGTGTAAATCAGCAGTTCAGCAACAGAGCTACACTGACTGACACCAGAGGAGGCTCTGACCCAGAGTCAGAGCCCACAAACAGCATCCTGACCAAATAACAGGGCGACTCAGTCCCAATGGGCCATTTGCCACCTCACAAATAAGACACTCATTGGCAATCTCAGAAGTGAGACTAGAGTAAAAGTTACAGCCGATTCCAGTATCCACGTATCCTCTCCCCAAACAAAGTTGGAAGATCAAGGTTGTGGCTTGTTGGAGACACTTACTTTTATTGTCCATGCTCTTTGTAGACAGAGGACCTCTGTTCTCGGGGACAACTATTTGCTCAAATCAATATACTGAACAGAGGATAAAATCCTGGTCCCAGTGAAATAAGTGGCAAAACTGCCATGAGGCCAGGATTTTACCCAATGTTATGAAAAATGCAAAGGGACAAATTTTGCAGTTCCTAATCAGGCAGAATTAGCTTCTTTGGAACAGTTAGCCACATAAGGACTGCACACCAGACCCTTTAGACTTGATATCAATATCATATAGACCAGTACAGCCACGCTGACTTCAATCTTTTTTTCTCCTCACAATTTACTCTGGCAAGAAAGGTCCCTTATTCTTTAAACCATGAGAGAATGGCTCTTAGGCAAGCACATACAGCACTTAATCAGCTTTTCAAAGTGTATTAGAGCCAAGACCAGTGGCTCTCAAACTTTTGTACTGGTGACCCCTTTCACATAGCAAGCTTCTGAGTGCAACCCCCCCTTATAAACTAAGAACACTTTTATATATTGAACACCATTATAAATGCTGGAGGCAAAGTAGGGTTTGGGGTGGAGGCTGACAGCTTGCGACCCCCTCATGTAATAACCTCTTGATCCCCTGAGGGGTCCCAATCCCCAATTTGAGAACCCCTGGCCAAGACTATCAGTTTCAAGTTGAGCACTTTGCATCATATAAACAACAAGTAAAGAGGGATAATTAAGTCCTTGACTGAGGCCAGGAATGGCAATTTCAGCCTAGATTTGAATGTTTAAAGCCCAGTTATAAATATCAAAATATACTTCTGGGGGAATTCTGCATCACTACATGCATGCAGAATTCATGTCCCCCGCAGATTTCTTTGCTCCCGCACAGAAAAATGACTTTCTGATGGGGAGGCAAAGGGAAGCTGCACAAGCAGTCATGCACCCCCACCCCAGCAGTGCAGGTGCATCGTTCAGGGTGCCCAGAGCAGCTGGCAGAGAGGTAAATAACTGCACAACTGGGGGGGGGGAGGAGGGAGGGAGAAAGAGAGATGCTAAGGATGCCCTGACTGGTGGCTCATACCCTGTGCTGGATTCAGCTGCTAGTCCCAGCTGGGCTGCAGGCCAGGACTTCCTCTTCCCCTGAAAGGAGTGGCCAAGGCCAGAAACCTCCCCCAGCTGCAGGAAGCCACACACACACACACACACACACACACACACACACACACCGTCCTTTCCCACCCCTATTTCGTTCCTCACGACCA